AGGCAAATGGATGGAACTAGAAGAAACCATCCTGAGATAACCCATACAGAAAGACAAACATGGGATTACTCACTCCTAAGTGGATATTAGACATAGAGCGAAAGATAACCAGTCTACAATCCACAACCCCAGAGAAGGTAGGAAACAAGGAGGACCCTAAGAGAGACATACACGGACTCCCGACTAGGGGAAAGGGACAAGATCTCCTGAGTAAATTGGGAGCACAGGGGGAGAGGAGTGGGAGGTAGGAGAAAGAGGAGGGGAGAAGAGGAGGGGGAAGGAGAATATGAGGGATCAGGAAGGTGGAGTTGGGAGAAGAACAGAGAAGGAGAGCAAGGAAAATGATAACTTAATAGAGGAAGCCATTATGGGTTTAACAAGAACTCTGGCACTAGAGAAATCTCCAGGGATCCACAAGGATGACCACAACTAGCAATCTAAGCAATAGTGGAGAGGCTACCTTAAATGCCCTTCCCCTATAATGAGATTGATGACTACCTTAAATGCCATCATAGAGCCTTCACCCAGTAGCTGATGGAAGCAGAAGCAGAGATCCACAGCTAAGCACTGAACAGAACTCCTGGAATCCAGTTGTAGAAAGGGAGGAGTATTGAGCAAAGGGGTCAAGACCATGCTGGGGAAACCTAAAGAAACAGCTGACCCGAGCAAGTGGGAGCTCACAGACCCGACTCTGACAGTTGGGGAACCAGCATAAGATCAAACCAGGCCCCCTGAATGTGGGTGTCAGTTGGGAGGCCTGGGCAGTCTATGGGGCCTCTGGCAGTGGAACCAGTAGTTATCCCTAGTGCACGAACGGGCTTTGCGAGCCCATTCCCTATGGAGGGATACTCTCAGTCTAGATACATGGGGGAGGGCCTGGATCGTGCCCCAAATGATGTGACAGACTTTGTTGACCCCACTCTAGATTAATAAACAACAGGTTATTTAATAATTGATAAAAACAAAGTAACAAAGAACCAGTGAGCTCTAAGCATTTGTTACAGAAATATTGATATGCTATGCTTAAAAAATTGTATCCCAGAGTGTTCTGTTGGGAGCCATACAGCTTGGCATGAACCTTTAGGCCAAACTTGGCAAGTCACACGGTTATAGAACTGTCTTTTGATTATAAATGGCTTCTAGAAGCATGAGCACCCAGAAGGAACAACATGACCCAGACGTCAATCCTTTGTTCCAACCACAGGCCCACTTACCTAAGCAACTCTCCCTCGTCCCACCACTCACCTAGGTAACCCTCCCTCTCCCCACCCCCCATGAACTTTTTATCCTGCCAATATCCTCCTTCTATAGTTTTCTGATACCCCATACTACTGACTATATAAACTAGCCTGGAAAAAATAAAATTTGCCACTTGATCAGAATCCTGTTTCGTGGTCATTCTCTTGCATCTCTTGTCCCCATTCCCCCCCCCTGCCCCTGGACTTTTGCTCTAGGTTGCTGTCCTGTGGGTCGGGACAACTACAGTGTTCTTTGACAAACGTTGTCTTACTATCTATTGGCACAGTGGCGGGTGAGTCTGGAACATCTTTCATACTAGTCCAAGTTTCTTCAAAGGTATAATTAGATATTCAGAAATTCCAAAATCAGTGTGTACTTTGCAATAATTTTCACCCTTCTTATTTTCCATGGAGCATAGCTCTCACCTGAACAGTAACAAATCTTTCCATGAGTCTATTTGATTGAACATTTTCTGCTCATAATGTATCAATTTGATTCATTGGATTTGGACTGCCAATCAAGGTCTTTGTAGGGTATGGAGGAAAGATGAAAACTAAATTAATCAATCAATTTAGTGGTTGAAATCATCTTTGGAAAAATTAATTGTCCCTGATGATGAAGTAGGCTGTTCCTAAAGCTATGTTTCTTCAATTTAAGGGGCTCACATCTGTTCTGAATCTATCTATTTTCACAAATGAGCTGCTCATGGTAAATTCTGAACTTCATCATGAGACTGCTTCTCATCAGGGGACAGACAATGCCTAATTTTGTTTACTACTTTACATGCAACACTCATTGAGTACATATATCTAAGTTGGCATTTAGCGAAATTAACAATAATAACCACAATTTCTCTTTGCTACTATTTTGTGAAATATGAAGTTGATAGATTTCTAGAACTCAAAAATCTTAGAATCACCGGACTAGATAAAATTTAATTTTTCTCACACGTATACTGCATCCAAGGTGTCTTTCCACCTAGGTATCATCATTATCAAGGTACCAGAGAGTGTATTCCCAGTCTCTGCATTTTAATGAGGCCACACGGCTCATTTTAATGAATAGAGTGCAAGTGGAGTCACTTATGTCCCTTCTTGGTAGTTTTTCTCCAGTATCAGTGTAACACTGCAGGTAGCGGGTAAGTCCATTACTTTTCTTTTGGACATGAGAGCTACCTTTTCTGTTTTGACCTCTCACTTGGGTCCCACTGTTCCCTCTCCAATTCCTGTCATGGGGATGGATGGGACCCCCTCATTTTTATTTCAGAAAAATCTGGGACTGCTTTAGCTGAAAAAACTGTCTTACTTCTGCTCATCTACTTATCCCTCTCATGTCTGATGATATTTGATGACTAGGGTACCTGTAGCTCATTAGTTTGTTAGTTAAGTTTCTTACTAAAAGCAGACAGGTGTGTCTCTTTTATAGGCTTCATAGTCAGGGATTAACAGGTCTCCCATGTAACTTCAGAGTTTTACATTTCCTGTAATTGTCTTCTAAAAATGTTCATGCCTTTTAACCAAAAGCCATAGCCTTTTACTATAACACCAAGAGGAAAATTTGTTCCATCTGTCTCACAGATACCTACAATTTCCTGGGAGAAGTTCTGTTTCTATATCAAGGAATCTGGTTTGATAAAATGTCTCCAGAACTCATTTTTACTCCACCCACTTTTGAGCATATCTTGCATGTTCACCCCCTCCTGCCTGGGCCAAGGTGAGCTCACAGATGGTCCTCCACATAATGCCAGAACCTGCATCAGTTCCTGAAACTCACCATTGCAACCTGCCTTCTCTGCTTCCTTGATGAACAGGCGCCTGAGGTCTAAGGATGGCAGTTAACTGAATGCTTCTTCACTCATACCTCTCACTGATTGTGAGCCCACCCAACTCCTGACTCTCCCCCTCCCCCACATCATCCCTTGTCATCAGGAAGAAGCCAGACATGAAGCGGTGTCCATATACCTAAGAGTCTGGAATGTTCTGGTGGAAGCTCACTCTACCTCTGGCATCCATACATCCAAAGAGTCTGGAATATTATGGTGGAAGTTCCACCCCTCATTTACCTCCCTCCAACCCTGCAGCATCTCAGAAAGCCTGCCAAATGATGGCCCCTCCCCCAGAGAAGCTCAAGACCACTCCCACAGAGTATTTAAACTGCCCCCCAGAAAATAGACTCGTGGTTTCCCCGGCTCTGTTTCCGGTCTCCTCTCTGGGAGACTGGAAGGCCATCCAGGAACATTGTATCCATTAAATGTGGGCTTTTTCTAATTCAGTGTGATTTGGATTGATATGTCAATGGAGAGAGGCTTATCTATCAGGGTGTAGCAATTTTTCAGCCTTTGTGATCAGTTGTGAGTCTGATTAAACAAACTGTACAACCTCTTCTTCTGTCACGCCCAAAAGTAGGGTTACTATATATGGCAGAGGGCCCACTTGGACTGTGCGTGCCTTGGATTACATCAACATTAGCTGCTTTCTTCGCTACTTTGCACTCATTCTGAAATATTTTCAAACAAAAATCGTTGCTAGAATTATACAACAAATCCCTGCACTCTTCATCCTACTGCTGTCATAGTTACTCTTTCACCATGCTTAAAAACTTTATTCTCCCTGCAAATAGAAGAAAAATAGGCAGATGTCAGAAAAACTTGAAGCAAAGTTAAAGGCAATTATCAATAGTCATCAGAATTCATGGAAATGGATGTGACTATTTCCTTAATCCCTTTTACACTGAATCAGTTGTAGAGAGATACTCAGAAACATGAGATTTTTTCTTATAAGAAAGTTAATGATGCTCATCATAAGGAAAACCAGAAATAGCCTCCATGCTCAACAGTGAGTTTGATTAAAGCAAACTGTATGACATGATTATCTCTGCTTCCAAATGCCCTTTTATTGGTCTCTGTAATCATTAGAATCAGGGTCGGGTCAAAGCTGCTCAATATATATCTGTCTCTGATGAATGCATTGGTCTTATCAGTTCTGGGACCCCTACCTGGACCCTTTCAGACAAATGTGATTATGCGAGGTCCCCTCAACCACGGTGAATTCTGAATTTCATCATACACATCTCCTTTACATGCCCTGCCGCTGAGGATCAAGGCAGAGGTCATCTCATTTGTCTGGATTCCATTTTTCCTTGAGCACTAAGCTTCCTTGCCTGACAGCCTTAGGAAGCAGCTGATATTGTGTTGACTTAGTCCCAGGCAGCATCACAAAGACCATGAGAAAGAAGTGCTAGCTGTATAAGAAGGTCTGCTTAGTATCAGAACAAACAACTTAGGATGTGCTGAGCACTGTGCAGAATTCTCACCACTTAATCTTTCCTATTTCCAGCATGTATGTGATTCCTCAAAGCCATTTATAGCCGTAAGAAAACCCTAGAGGAACAACAATGCCAGCTGTGTAGCCAGAAATGCCAATAAACTGGCTCCTAATATGACAACTCCTGAAGTTCTTCATTCTTTTATGGTTGGATGTGCTCATGTCCCTTACCAAGGACAATCACAATAAATACAGTACTGCTTCTTTACAATGGAAATCATTTGGTTTTGATACCTCAGATCCAGAAAGTCTGAAGTAAAACATGAAATTTCAAATAGAAGTTATCTGAGATGATCATCTTTCATATGCTAATATCCTAATGAAAAAAACTTAGACTCTGATACAAAACATTCACACAAATAAAAATAAGTAAAATTAACCACACAATATATCAATATTTCCAAAATGGAAAGAATATTTGAATCAAGAAGCAAACACTCTAAAATATAATATTTATTTAAAACACAATATAGTTCAGGATTGTAAGACAGAAAGGACTTAAAGTGAAAAAATTCAGTTTCTCAGCTGGTTTTATTGACATCAGTATACAATCACTTGGTTCTCTCTAGGATAACATAAGATACTATACAAAAACTTTGATTCCATTAAGTTTATTAATATGATCTAAACATGGATCATATTGATAAAGATAGGACAGAAAAGAAGATTTAACTAGCTAATACAGAGAACCCAAAGAATGATAAGATCTTCAGTTGGTGGAAATTTTAAATTGGAAGTCAGTTTATTAACTAATATAAAAATAAATCTATCATAGGAAATATGATTCAAATTGAGCCAGCGTGGAACACCCAGTGGTGAGCATTTACAAACCCCATGGCTTCCTGCTTGCTCACACTGTCCGCTCTGCTTTGTAATTGTATCTCCTCTAAGACCCTTCACAGCAAGGGGTTTGCAACCATCTTCATTTTTTTTTCTTAGCCTACAATCAGCCACCACCATATCCACATTCATGAAAATCTCTTTCTTTTAAGAGAGTTACAGAGCTTAAGAAAAAATCAACTGGATGGTACTGCAGAGACAGGGAAATAATTCAATGTGGGTTTGGGCACCAACAGACTCAGATAAGCATGGGAACAGAAGAGGTACCACTGAAAAGCACTGAGATCAGAGATAATAGAAAAAACAACGACTGGGCAATGTCAGAGGGTACGGCCGTGCTCATACTTGCAAGTTACACCTAGGAATGGAGTGGAGAGTAATTCCTTTGACGCTGTTTGTGAAAAAGAATTGGACAGATGTCGGGTTGAACAATGGGTATTGAAATAACATGTAATATAGGGGAAAAAAAAGATACTTTTCATTCTGTGTGACTTGTTGAACTTTCAAAGCAGTTAGGACAGGTCCATTTTATTTTACTAATCATAGGCACAGAACATCAGCTTTTATAGGGAAACTCTTGAGAACCCCAGTGACATCGCTTGGGTACACTGGGAAGGAAAATGGAGGGAGTGTGTGAGACAAAAGTCCCCATGCTCTTCATGCCCATCTCTTCAGGCCCAATGTGAACATAGTCTTTAACCTGACTTTAAAGGACAGTCTCAGATTCCAGACTCCAGTGTCACCAAGTACAGCAGTCACAAACCCTGGGTGCTCAGCAAACTCCCAAGAAGCAGAGAGCACAGCAGCAACCTGAGAGAGAAAACGCCATGCAGAGGAGAGGAAGCAGATGTCCCACACACCAAAGGTTCTGTTTTATAAGGCCTTTGGATATCAGGAGGTAACGCTGTCATCCCTTGAATCTGAAAAAGACAAAGGCAGTTCCTGTGAGCAACTGTGTAAGAGCAGGCTGTGGCCCAGCTCACTTCAGTGGCTTAAATGAGAACAGCTGGCACAGCTCACGTATTTGAACACTTGGTCCCCAGGTGGTAGAACTGCTTGGGAAGGATTAGAAGGTGTGGTTTTGTTGGAGTATGTATCAATGGGAATAGGATTTGAGGTTTCAAAAGCCCATGCTATTCCCAGTTACCCCCACCCTACTTGGATAAGAATCTAAGCTCTCAGCTACTGCTCTAGCACCAAGCCTGCCTGCCTACTGCCAGGTTCTCCACCATGATGGCCATCGGTTCATCCTCTGAAACTGTAAGCCCCCAATAATCTCTTTCTTCTATAGGTTGCTATAGCAGTGGTGTCTTATCACAGCAATAAAAAAAAGGAACTAAGACATATGCTTATTTACCTCCACTTCTGGTGGAGTTTAGGGGATAGACTGTACTTGCTGAAGAAGCCAAGTGTCAGAGGCTCCAGGAACTTTAGCCCTGGAAAACGGGGAGGGGTAAAAGAGCTAAGCACTACCTGGAAAGAGCTGCAAGCTGGTTCCCAGGATTTCTAAGCTGCCCCATCTATACCAATTCATCACAACTACAGTTTCAGAATAAATTTGTCTCTTCAAAGGGATTGCTCAGGAATCAGAGGTTGTCCATCATCTCAAATGATCACTAAGCAAGTTACATGATCAAACACGAAAGGATACTTAGACCACTGTTTTATGGATGGCTACCTGAAGCTTAGATTTTTTTTTCCTCTTTGGGATTCAGGCCAACTGGGTTCCCAGAGGAAGAAAAATGGGCTTACCGACCACTCTGCATTGTCTGTCTTGGAACATCTCACGTTCACTGGTAGGCTGAGGACAAGCTTATTGAAGGATAGACCTTCTTTTTTAGTCCATTTAAACTTGTTCATTGCATCCATGAAAGAAAGGTTTTTATATTGCTTAGGGCTTTTAATAATGAAAGGCCATGTCCTGAAATTAAATAATCACAATTACATTCAGCACATCACATTACAGTATAGTACATGCTGTATTTCCTATAATTTTCAACATTCTAACACAGACTTCATAATAGTCATTTTAACTATGAAAATAAATCCATATAGCATTTATGAACTTATTAGTTGTTGCAGGAATGTACTCCAAATAAGGATTTTTTCCTTTTGCATTTATTTATTTATGTGTGTTTTGGCTGCCTAAATGTATGTGTACCATGTTCATGCTTAGTGCCTACTGCCATAAACGGGTCAAATTCCCTGAAATTGGAGAGTTATGGATGGTGGTGAACTGCCTTTTGAGTCCTGAGAAACAAACCTGCTTTCTCTGCAAGGACGAGTGCTCTTAAATGCTGGACGATCTCTCCAGCTAACAAGTGAAGAGGCTCTTAAGGAATGATTCGTCTTGTTTAGATGCAACTGGTTACTTAGCTTTCATTGTAGGGTGAAATCATAGGCAATCTTCATTTATAGTTTTCAGTTCCACACACTGATCGAATTTTGTTGCTAGGTGATTCATTATGTTTTCAGACAGATTTTTTAAATTCCCTTTATTATTGAGAATCTACTCGTCTACAACAAAATATGGTCCTATAAATATATGATCACCTTTGTGCCCCCAACACACCCCTCCCAATTCCATGTCTTTTCCTTTCCTTTTTGTTTTTAACTCACTAAATCCAGTTAGCGCTGTGCATAAGCTTTGACCAGAAAGAAGCCTTGTAAATTTGCATATTCTACCATTGAAAATTTGCTGCTAGTTTTTTTTACATGTAAGATAGTTTTATATTCAATATTAAATAACATTTACCTTTGAAGAGACAAGGTATCTATACTGAAAAAAGAAAAAACACCACTTTGTAAATGAAATGGAGGCGGCACAGGGTAGGATGGGAAGTATCTGTCTGCAATCACCAGAAACACCAGCAGGGGGCGCCTGAACGTTTACTAAGGGGTTTGTGTGATTCAAGTGGTGGTAAATGTGACCTTCCTAGGCTTTGCTGGCCAAGGTGAACACTGTGAGCATTCTGCAGGGCTGACTCTAAAAACTTTGATTCTATAATAAGCCAGTAAGTTAATATTTATGGAGATTTTTCCTCCAAAAAGTGAAAGCTGTAACTATGGGTGTTGGTGGGACAGCCAGGGAGACAAGAGCAAACCGAAGGGCTCATGTTGGAGCCAATTGCTGGAGGACTGGGAACCTGCAAAGACAGTACCATCCTTTCTGAGCTTCTGTGCCTCATACTTTGTCTCTCTTGACTCTTTGTAATAAATGTCCTTTTCGTCACCTCTAACCGGAAACCTTCAAAGTTTTCTAACACAGCTCAGATTACTCCCTGGAGAACTGAGGAGGGAGAAGGAGAGAAACATTGCAAAAGCAAATGTGTTTATTATTTGTTTTGAAAAGGACTCTGCTTTTCACCAGAAACAGTGGTGAGATTAAATAAATAAATTCAATTAACATAAATAAATAAATAAATAAATAAATAACTTAAAATACCAAGTACCCTGCTATTACTTGAAATAGGGTTCAGCCGGAAGAATCGATAATGTTGTAGAAATTAAATAGTATATTTCGGGTATGTCTATGCAGACACACATAGAAATAAAATATTATAAGTAATCACAGTAGTTGATTTGAAGAAATTGTATTAATTTTATGCTTTACTACTGATGGATAATTTCCCTTTGTAAATCAAATTTACAAATTGTAAATCAAACACCAAGATGTATTTTTCTTGTAACACAGCAAAATTTACTACTACTCACAGTGGTATAGGGTATATTTTAATTTCCTTTGCAAAAATTAAGCATTTTTATTTGTACATTCAGTTCATTCAATGAATCATTTAAAAATGTGATAACTTTAGACATGTCTCTCCTGCTCTGTATAACATAACAACAGAAGGAAGAAAACAACTTGTAGTTGTTAGACTTCGTATCTGCCTGGAACCCCACAGCTGTTGCAAATGTCCTACTGCGAGAGTCATTCTTGAGAACAGGAAAAGGTGTGGGGAGAAGGAAAGAAAGTGGTCAGCTTCTGCCAAGAAGCAGGGCCAGGTCCATACAGCTGGATGAATAGCCTTACAGATTCTCCCTCCGTCACACAAATAAACACATGGCCAAAAATTAGGAACACAAACGAAGTGCTCATTAATGGAATTCACTCCTGGCTATGTGGAGTAACAGGCACCAGCTTCCCGTGAAAAAACACCAGTACTCGTTGACAAAGCTGTACAGAGCGTCTGGGCTGGGGGACTGGAAAACTGCAGAAATCTATGACCCCAAAGGAAATGAACGCTTGTCATATTTGAACACTGTGTTCACCCCAGGGTTCTGCCTGGGCGCAGAAAAGGAGATTTTTCCGAGCAATAGAATGACAATCTCAATGAATTAAAGAGACAAAAGTTGGAATGAGGGAGTCTGGAAGCAGTGCAAGTTTCAAAGTAGAGTCCTACAGGGGACGCGAACCCTAACCCTCACCCTCACCCTCACCCTCACCCTAACCCTAACCCTAACCCTAACCCTCACTCTCACCCTTTAAGTCTATAGCAGGGGTAACTAAATGTGTGCTTGAGTAATAAGACAACCAAGGGTGAAATTGCACAAGGATTGGCAAAAAGTAGCTGGGGAACTATTTAAAAAAACAAAAACAAAAACAAAAACAATGATTCTGAGAGCTCCCAGAGCTGGTACACATTTCAGTTCCAACTAGCCAGAGCAGAGAGTCTTTGTTGATGACACAGGCATTCGGTGACATCCCATAGATCCATCTCAGAGACCTGAGAGTGAATCACACCTAAACATCTATTCAAGAGTCACACTAACAAGGCTATTAAATGTAGTACAGTGCTAATCATTACAAAATATATACATATAGTCGAAAATTACTAAGCACATGAACAAATATGTAAAGACGAACCTTAATCTAAAGACAAACTAGAGAAACACCAAGATCTGGAAATTTCAGAGAGGCAGGATACAAATCAGCAAGAAAGCTATTAAAATATAAATATTATTAACAAAGGTGAAGACTATCTACATTAAAATCTATAAGGAAAACTACACTAAAACCTACTGAGAAAAAAATGCTTTAGTGAGTGAAACATACTATGTTCATGGAGTAGATTTCCTATGGTTAGCATGTCAGTTCTTTCTAGATGGTACAGGGACTCCATACCACCCACATAAATCTCCTTTGGTCTTGAGTGTTTGCTTGCTTGCTTGTTTGTTTTTAAACTTCTGGTACAGTGATGGAAACAGGGGCTGTTATATTACTAATTGAGGATGTCTGGTTTTTATTTGGTGGCTAATGGGTTCCTTCTGCATGCCCTGAGCTTTCAGTAGCATTTCCAATAAGTTTTTTTTTTAGGTTTCTGTTTGGATATTTGTTTTAAGAAATTGACAAATTGTGTTACTCTTATATGTGAAAATATAATGAGCCTAGACTATCAGATCTATTTGGGAAAACGTAACAGCAAGTGGGAGTTTACAGACTTGTATTCTGGACTTAAAGTCTTCCTCTAGGACTGCAAAGAGCAAGTGTGTACTAAAGTAAACCTATGTATACAGCCATGAACAGAGTCCAGGCCACAGTTAGCATATAGTCAAATGACTCTGTGGCAAAAATTCCAAATTTTGTAGTAAAAAAAAGGCAGTTTCCAGGCCTGCAAGATGGCTCATTGGGTAGATGCCACCAAGCCCAACAACCTGAATTCTATCCTTGGGGACCACATGGTGGGAAGGGAATAACTGACTGCTACAAGGTGTCCTAAACACACACACACACACACACACACACACACACACACACACACACACACACACGAATAAGTAAATAAATAGTGTAAAAATTTAAAGGCAATTTTTTCACTAAATTGTCCTTGATATTTATTTGAAAAACTAATTTGCTTTGGATTTGCCTTGTGCTACAAGAAAAATCCATTCCAAACAAATCATCTGTCTAAATGTAAAAGTCAAACTCTAAAGTCCAAGAAGAAAACAAAAACAAGATATAAAACAATGTCATAACCTTCTGATTGTTAAAGAAGGATGTTGGGCAATCTGTCTCAGTAATGCACACCCCTGGTGAATGACTGGAAGGAACACAGCCAGATGAAGTCTCCTAGGCAGAAGGCAAGTCTCCAGGGTAGCAAGAGACTGGACATCCCTGTATAAGTTGACATGTTCCTCCATGAAAGTGATTCAGCCCACCAGAGAGAAGGTGGCTTCTAACAGTAGGAATAAATCCAAGGCAGAGACAATGCATTCATTCAACCAGGGAGTATCCAGTCCCACCCGACAACCCTTTCCTCTCAAAATATGTGTGCATAAAATGACTCATCTAATCCTCCAGCTGTGGTGTGGCAAGAAGAAAGTCTAGGTTCAAATACATTTGATGAGGTTTTGGACAGATGCCCTCAGAATAAGCAAGAAATGAGATGGGAACCATGAAACCACAAGGCTAAAAAAAAAAAATCACATGGTACAGCTTATAAAATACTTATAAAATATAAATTAAAGGGGGTTATAGAGATTGCTCAGTGGTTAAGAATATGCATTTCTCTTCCAGAGGACACAAGTTCAATTCGCAGCTCCCACGCCTGGCAGCACACTCCTGACTATAGCTCCAGCTCCAGAGGTTCTGTGGTCACCTTTACTCATGGGCACATACACTCCTGCGTGCACTTAATTAAACATAATAAAAACATATCTTTAGAAATACAGGAAAGCTGAGCTTAGAAGAAAGTAGGAACAAATGAAACTGAAGAAAGTTAAAGAAATTGTTTCCTCTTGCAACTTATCTTAATTATGTGAGTTTAATAATACAGGTTTAATAAATATAATTTAGCGATTAAAAACTTAAGTACAAGGTAATAAGGCAATAGAATAAGACGAGAGGCAGACTACAGAGCAAAGGAAATAAATTAAGACAAAATAAATTATAATTAATAAAGTATGGAAGATGAATACTGAGAAATGTCAATGTTGAAAGAAAATAGTTGAAGCCGGGTTTGGAGGTTCACTTCTATAATTCCATAACTTGAAAGAGTGAGGCAGGAGGATTGTCATGGGTTGGAAGCCACAGAAAAGCACTGTATCCTAGCCCCTACCTCCTAAAAAGAAAACATTTTCTTAAAAAAGAAGAAAATATCTGAGAGAAATTCTAAATAGGTTAGAAAAATATAGATATAATACAAGAAAACAAAATACTACTTTTTGGGGGTAATGATAGTCCACAGTTAACTGTGTTTTGGAAAGTAATTCTTCCTGACATTCCAAGGGGTGAAAGTCCAAATGTAGCATTTCCAGAGAAAACAGAAATCAGGGACAATGGCAAAGCCCATTGTGGAGATGCTCTGTCCAAGGTGAGCATAAAGGATGGAACAAGGTGATATGGGATGTCTTTGTATACGCTGTGAATATGCGTTGCTCTCATTGGTTGAGAAATAAAGCTGCTTTGGCCTATGGCAAGGCAGGATAGAACCAGGCAGGAAACCCAAGCAGAGATACAGGAGAAGAAGGGCAGAGTCTGAGAGATGCCAGCCAGCTGCTGAAGAAACAACACATGTAGAAACTAAAGTAATATGCCACAAATCACATGACAAGGCATAGATTTTTTTTTAAAAAAGTATGGATTAATTTAAATGTAAGAGCTAGCTAATAATAAGCCTGAGACATTGGCCAAGCATTTATAAGTAATATTAAGCCTCTGAGTAATTATTTGGAAGAGGCTTCAGGACTGGGCAGGCAGAGAAAAGCCTTCGTTTACAGCAAGGTGCATCCATTCATTTGTAAACATACAGCCATTTGTTTTATACGCTTTTGTTAATAAACACACAGTTAGGAAACTTCCTGTTTTGTGGTGTAAAATATATTCTAAAGGAAAAAACCTACCTGAAGCAAAGAGCAATATGATGTGACTATGTGGGAAGCTAGAGGTATAAGTCAAGGGTATATCACTTGCCTACCATGTGCTAGGCTCTGAGTTTGATCTCCAGCATTGCAGTACACCAACGTGCATGCATGAACACATACAAAGACACACTCATATGAGCCAAAATCGAACCACCCAAATACTTAAATTATACCCTTATGTTTTCAGGAGTTTGAACTTAGGTTCTCATACATGGTAGCAAGTGCCTTCTCTCACTGGGCCTCCTCATTGTCCCCTGTTCTAGTTTTTTTTTTTTTTTTTTTTTTTTTTTTTTTTTTTTTTTTTTAGAATCACATTTCATGTATTATTTTGATGTTTATCAATAGCTTACCCATCCTATGTACTTTTGTCTAATTACACCATACTTTCATTTTGAGAGGTTTGAACTTCTAGAAAGTTCTACCATGAACAGATTGGGGAAAGGATATTGGACTGAATTTTCCCATTTATGATATACCGCATAGTGTCGAGCAGTTTCTTAATCTTTGTTTCTGTTTTGTCCTCTATAGAATGGAAGTTCCTGGCCTTAAAAACATTCTAAAAATCTGTGCATATTTTTGTCCAATTACATCGGTCTCTCTCATTTTGAAAAGATTTAATTATCAGAAAGATCTTCCTGTTGAGGCACATTACATCCTCTATAAAGTTCCACCAACTATCCTTATGCTTTGTGCCAATGTTCCTGAGAACAAGTACTCTTTTCCAGCTTCTCCTGTAACATATCCGTAGCCTGAGGCCATGCCTGGGTCCAAGTTGCCCTTGGCTTTCAGTGAACAGTCACAGTAATTTCCTGATCAGTGCTCTGACCCCGTCTTATCCTCCTGTGGTACTGTCTTCTCACCCTAAGCAAACGAACTTTGCTTCTGTCCCATAGTGGCTTCTTTTTGTACTACTCATAATGGCATCTGTGGTCCTGTCTACTCATGCCACTCTGGTGTGAGGACACAGTCTCTGCCCTACTTCACTCTGCTCCACCCAAAGGTGTCATCTTGCTCATTCTCAACCTGAGCAGAATGATGACATACACACACACATCGTTCTCTTTGCTTCTTATCTGCACATGGAGGCATACAACCAGAATCCTAGCACCTGGGAGGTAGAGGCAAGAGGATCACAAATTTGAAGTCAACTGAAGTCATTGCAGGAAGGCTGTCTAAAGCCTAACCACAAGTTTCACCTTTGGCTATGGGCTAGCAACTTACATAGTGAGAAATTTTGGAGACTGACATAAAACTTCCTCTAAACGATCAGAAGGCTCAGCACTACAGTCAATGTTCACTTTCTATTGTCAAGTCTGCAAATTGGGCATGCATGAGGCAGACAGCACTGAAGGAACATCCCCAGTAAGAAGTCCAGCACAGCTGTTCCATGGAGCTTTTCTAGGAGACTTCCCTTCGGTGACTGTATCGAAAGTGGATGTGTATTCTGGAAAGACTTCTTGGAGCTTGGTGCTTTCTGACTTTGCCTTTTCCTTTGTTCATTTCACTTTGTATCCTTTCCTTGTAATAACTTTGCTCAAGAGTACAGCTAATGGCTGAATCCCTTAGGTTTGCCTAGTCATCACTGATCCCAAGGGTTGTGGAGGAACTTGGACATAGCAACCAAGATGCTTACTCGGTCCCTGAGTTCCAAGCAACCAAAAAGACAGCGCATAAAATAGCCTTTAATATCTCAGTGTGCAGATGAGACCTGCTCTTGGAAGCCCATGATCCACTGGCACTCACGTGACAGGACGGTAAATCTCCTTCACACCAATGAACTGCAGCTGTTCCATGATGTCTGGGATGCTGGCACACCGGGTCAGGTTAATTCTTGGATAATAAAGAAGGTATGAGAGACACATCTCGTTCCTGGTGCTTAATCCTCCCTGAAAATGGAGATGTTTTATTTTGCCAAGTTTTTCTCAGCTCTCACACACAGAGCACAAAGTCAACAGTGCCATACAGATACCCAGTTCTGAAATACATTTGCTCTTCACCATTTGCAAGTAACAGCTTATTATCCTTTCTTATGGCACTGAGGATCAAATTCAGGCCTCAGAGTTGGTGGAGCAAAGCTCTAGCCCAAGCCTCTTTTTTAAAAGCTTTAATATGGGGGTTACACCAAGTTGCTAGGGTTGGCCTTGAACCCAGAATCCTTTTGCCTCTGCCTCTCAAGTAGCTGGCTTGGAAAATTATTAACTTAAAGGACTCTTAACTTGCAAAATTATTGAAACATTACAAATTAATATTATTTCTCTATCTTTAAAGGATGCCTTTCTAAGGTAATCTATTGAAGTCCATAAGAGTTCTATTGATGTGATAAAACTTGTGTCACTGTAGACATTTCCCAAGTTCCTGGTGTCATTTGCACCTCACAGGCCCCTTTGTTGGAATTATTCAGGGCTGTGAGGGTGAGAGAGAGTCTCCTGGAACCCAAGCTGTTTTTTAATTCCTTGTCGTCTTGCCTCCACCTCCCATGTACTGTTGGAGTTTTTTTTCAGCCAAACTGAATTTTCTATATTAATTTTTAGGTATATAGATATAGCAGCTATGTGCTATGGTGTCCACAGGCAACACCTTTTAAATATAAGCAGGTAACATTCCACTGTACTTTAATGAAAACTTCAACTATCTGCAGAATCTAGAGTTGCTTCAACATTTTCCACTGTCCAGTTTTCAACCAAAAGTTATTAAAGAAACAGTTGACTGTTGTTTTTACTCAAGAAAAAAAAAAATCTCACTCATCACAGACTGTGAGGAGATACCAATGCTGGATTCAGAAAAGACTGTAAAGGTTAAGTGGTTAGAGGCAAATAAGAGCAGAATGGGGGGGGGGGCATTTGGGAGTAGCACTAGAAAGAGAAAATCCAGACAAACGTGAGTTTAAGGGATGAAAGTCCCCAAGATGAGTTCAACAGCATGCCTGCTATGACCTACGGAAGAATTAATGAATTTTAAAGATGATTGATAGAAATGATCCAAATAGCAGAGAGGGGGGATGTTATAAACAGACTAATTTATTTTTCTCATTATAGGCAGTTGATCATGCCAGCATCCTAAAATAAAAAGGTCCACAATACCTCATTTATCCAAATGTCCTGTCCATCTGCAACCACATTTCTAGATATAGGGTCTGTAAGTTGGTTGCAGAGACTCTAACTGAGGACCCAAACTACCCTGGATTAGTAACCAGAGCTGTAAAATAAGACTTGCTTTAGTTCACTTTGCATCGGATTCCCTTCAGCAGTCTTTCCTATTCTTGACCCTTTGTTCCTCCAAGTACACTTTTGATGCATGTAAAAACTAAAACAGCAAACACTTTTGCAAAAATGAAAAAAGAGAAAATCTTAGTTGTAACTAGGCAAATGTTTATTAATGAACATGCTAAACCCACCAAAATCATGAAATCTCCCGAAATTTCTTTTACTGGAATCACAGAAATTTATAGACTATTTCCTTTTACTTAGTTTTTTTCCTTTTTTGGTTTTATTGATTTTTAAAATTTTTATTGCTGTATATTAAGTAGTACACAGTACTGGGTTTACTAGGGATATTTTATATAAGTGTGTCTCTTAATTTCTTTAGCTGCTATTTACTGTCTCACGCAAATATCTATATTTTTATCTATGAGATTAACCATATCAAATGTTGAATTTTATTTCTATAAAATATCTTCTTTTCAATTATTTAACCTCATGATTGCTCTTTGACATCAATCTGCAATTACTTAGGGAGGTTTGGATGTGTTTTACTCTTTCATCTTTTCCTTTGTGGTATTTATATATTTATAGTTCTTTATTTTATTTTTTTCCAATAAGACATAATGAAGTTTCAGAGTAACACCCAATAGAAGTGGTGCTAAAAATGTTCCTACATATTTTACAAATGTGAAGAAATATTTTTAATATTTGATTTAGTATTAGCTACAGATTTGACCATAGCTAACATTGATCTAGGTAAGGTGGTTCCCCTCTAACCCTGGCTATTGCCATTTTTCTGGCTACCTCCTCCCTCTGCCTCCAAGCAAGCCTTAATTGTCAGAATACAAACAAAATATCACATAACACTTCCCCCGATGATAGGCTTATGATAGGAAGTTTTTGTATGCCTCTTTTAGATAAGTCACATCTTTTTCCTTCACCCTCATAATTGGCAGGATATATTTTCTAACTTTTTAACTTTATATTCTTTATCTAAACCCAACCAGCTATAACAGATTAATATATAAAGCAGAATTCAATCTGTCAATGTTTTTCCAAAAGTGTATATTGGCCTTGTTCATGCCTTCTAATATAGCTTTAGAGTGCAGATTTTAAAAGTTCACTGGTGGGAGATGACCTCTACTTGTGTTCCTAGCAGGGACCATGCAAGGCATGAAATATCCATTTCTTAAGAGTTTGGCAGCCTCAACTGAAGAATGGATAGAGAAATTATGGTACAATTTACACAATGGAGTACTACTCAGCAGAAAAAAACAATGGAATCTTGAAATTTACAGGAAAATGGATGGAGCTCGAAGAAACCATTCTGAGTGAGGTAACCCAATCACAAAAAGACAAACATGGTATGTACTCACGCATATGTGAATTTCAGACATAGAGTAAGGGATTACCAGCCTACAATCCACACTGCCAGAGAAACTAGTAAACAAGGAGGACCCTAAAAGAGACAAACTTTGTCCCCTGGAGAAGGGGAAAGGGTCACGATCCCCTGAGCAAATTGAGAGCATGGGAAGACGGGGAGGGAGTTATGAGAATGAGAAGGGAAGAAGAGGAAGGATGCAGAGGTCATGAGGGAGCAGAAAGGTTGAGTCAGGTGTAGATTAGAAGAAAGGACAGGTAGGGTTTTAGTTAGGGGGTGGTAGGAGAGGAAGGGAGGGAGAAGGGAACTGGGATTGTCATGTAATTCAATCTTGTTTGTAATTCAAATAAAAAAAAGTAAAAAAAAATGAGTTTGGCAGAGGTCCCCAGTAAATATGTTGACACCAGATTTCTCTTTGGGTCAGAAACTCTGAGTTTATGTACTTTATTCTTCCTTTTGAAGTCTGGGTTTATCTAAGTAAACACCCAGGCAGACCCCAGTAATGTAGAGGTGAGTTAATGCCTTGTCTATTTGGTGAGGACTAAGATAAGGAAGGGTAGCTTTCCCAAAGCATCAATCAATTACGGCATAGTCCTTTAAAACACTAAAGAAGCTCTTGCTTCCCCACTATGATGCTTCATGCTGAAGACTTTCAGAGTTTTGTTTCAAGATAGGAATGGGCTTTTTGTCCTTAAAATCAACGATTATTTCTTCTTCTCTTTAAATGAACTTAAGGATAATATTTTCTTACCCAAGTCATCCCAGATCTGTCCTTGGTGTTGTACCGACATTCAGTAATCAGGTTGTCTCCCTAAAACAAAAGCAAGGGTCTTCAGGTTAGAGTTCTATGCTGTTTTGTTTGTCTAATACATCTTAGACCAGCAGTTTGTAGTTACTGCTTGAAGGAAAGCATCAGGCAGTTTGACTCAGAAGATGCTGATTTGCTTAACTCCAGTGTGTTAAGACAATCAGCAAGAAAGTAAACAAGAGCACTCTCTAAGTTCAGACCAGATTCTACAATATTCTAGACAGACAACTAGGTAAGAAACTGAACAATCTGGACACCATTTGTCCCTCTGAGTAAAGTGATTAAAAATAGCACTTACTTTGCACAGCTCTTACAACAAGATGTGATGATATAATTAGTATTCATTCTTTAGTCGAGATGAATTATGTAATGAAATAGTAGTCAAGATCCTAACTGTGATTACTTATGTATCCATGATCATCCTTAAAGCTCTTTAGTTACATTCTTACTTCCTTAGAAATTATTAGTAACTTATTGTTTAGTACTTCCCAGCATTTTGAACATTACAGCAGACATGAAGAATGAAGATATTTTTATAGCTTTCCACCATGTAGATATTTCTGCTGATGCCATTTCACAAATTGTATAAGAATCTAACCTTTGAAAGCAGATTTAAAGGGCCAGTGAGATGGTTCAATGGATCAAGGTTCATGCTATCTGGTGTGACAGCCTGAGTTCGATCCTCAGGGCCCAGGAGAAGAAGAAAAAGAAGCATACTATTGAGTGTATGGAACGCCTCTTCATGGGCTGGAGGCCAGCATCCCTGGCACTAGCCCCCAGGTTTTCCTCACTGCACCTGAAGATCAGTAACTCAGCTTGCATATGGCCCTAATCACAGCACACCTGTGATTAGAAAGTGACTAGCCTGCCATGAGACCAACATAATGAGAGAAAGTGTAGTATAGAAAGAATACCAAGTCACTCTTTCTCAACACATCTTACATCTGTCCAGGCATATAAAATTTTCTAAAAGGAATAGTGAGTCAGAGCTTTGACTAAAGTGTGATCATTAAAAAACTTTAGATCCCCTTCTCTTCATTAGTTACTTCTGTTTTTCACACTTTTCCCTAACATTTTGTCTTTTTTTCCTGACAGTTCACTTCATCTAAAAATTTCTACTTCAAGCCTCACTCACCCAGAGAAAACTCATATGCCACTGCCATTTCACAAATTGTGTGAACATTTAATTTTTAATAGTCTGTTTAAGAATAGGAAATTGTCTGACTATTGAGCCAATGGGCATAGGAAAATATTTGAAAGGAGACAATGCATCAAAAAAATTAATGAAAATTGAGAGGTTTCAATATTGTAAGAGATGCAATTCTCTTTTTCCACCCTAACATGAAGAACTGCTACAAGTTGGATCATAAAGCAAAGAATAACTAACTATGTATGCTACCTTTTCTTGGGCTTGTGTATGCGTGCACACATGCAAGATCATGTGTGCATCTACAGATGCTGGGTGCTCACTGATCCTCTCCTCTCTGTCCCCTAAACATGACAGTTAGAGGCATGCAGGATTACATCCAGTTTCTGCAAGGTTGTTGAGACCTGAAGGCAAGTCCTCACGATTACACAGCAAGACTCTTAACCACTGAGCCATTTCTCCAGCCCTGCTCTTCTAATGGAAGACTTACCCTAGGTGTATTTTTTTCACAAAAATGAAACTAGTAAAATGTGTCCCCTCTTCAAGATAACATATCATAATATGCAATTTCACCATTATGATAATTGCAACCCAAAGAATCACTAGTCAGTGATCGGAATCTGAACTCTTCGGTTGTTTTGTTTTGATTTTTCTTTCTTTAATCAAGAACTAGAATTGCCCCCAGGGGATGGTAAGAAAAGTGAGTTTCCAGTTTGGGAAGCAGATCAAACACATTCCCTCTGATGTAGGCAACACCCACAGTGGGTGGCTTTAAGACTATGAACTTGATGAACAATTCTCTTGGCTAGCACAATCCCTACTGCATCTTGGGAGATAAACCTCAAGACACAACATTCTCGGAAAAAGAGCATTTATGCCTACTGGTAAGATTGTTTGTTCTTCCTTCAGATACTGAAACTCCTGGAAATTGAAGTCGAAATCATCATCATAAGCCAATGACTGCATTTCCTCCCCATTTCGAAAATGACGCAGCCTGACGCCTCTGCCTGCCAGGTGTGCGTGGAGAAGAACTGCAAACACATGGATTCCACTTGGCTTCTCAGCTCCCAGGGCCTGCAGGACAGCGAGAAGGACCCAATTAGCCCATCAAAGGCGCGCTCGGACAGTTCGGGCACACTTGAGGGACAACTGACAAAAAAAGATGAAGCAATTTAAGGGAAAGCCTGAGTTGCCAAACACTTTGAATTTGGATTATTGATGTGTTGTCTTCGTGCTCATCATTTGCCATGAGAAGGAAGGGAAAGTTTCCAGGGCACAGTGAACTTAGTTTTCTCTTCACTTCCATAGGAAGGCAAGGAGACAAACAGTGGTCCAGTGAAAAGACCACAACAGCAGCAGGTCAATAATAGGAAATTTCAAACTCCAAAAAGAGAACCTGTCCCCACTTTCCCGAATAGAAAAGGGCATCTTCCCCAGTGTCATTAAATGATTCACCCTGGTTCTCCAGCTGATAGGTGTTGTCCTGGTAGTTTATCAGGGTCTAAATGCCTCAGCAGAACATAACCTTTGCACTTCACTAGTGAATAATCACAGAATCCTGTATTTCAGAAATAATAGGATCTATATTGAAATACTTTGATTCAAGAGAAAAATTGCTAATGGGGGTACTAGTGAAATGCCTATAGTTTCCGGTTCCCCTTCTGCACCATGTATTTCACATTACTTGTTCTTATTAAAAGAAGAAAACTAAAAAGCAGAGGAAAAGAGAAATGGCAAAATGAATAATAGAAAAGTACAGGAATACCAGGTAAAGAAAAAAGAAACTACACACTTTGGAGCCTATCCTGGCACTCTCTCTCTGGAGACCAGGCTGGCCTTGAACTCACAGAGATCCCCCTGCCTCTGCCTCCCGAGTGCTGGAATTAAAGGTGTGCGCCACCAACGCCCGGCGACAGTTGCTCGTATTGTATATAGTTTCATTTGTTAAAGCTAATGCCTTTCCTTTCTATTTAGCCAATACCTGATAATTATTCTTATTGTGTATAGTTTTACTATGTTAGATTTAAAACCTTTCCTTTTTATTTGGGCAAACGGGGGAAACATTGTGGAATAATCTTTTTGTACAGTGTGAAGCTGTGTCACTCTGACTGGTTTAATAAAAAGCTGAATGACCAATAAAAAAGAAAAGAAAAGAAACTACACAAATGAAGATAAGTCATAAAATGCCCAAAGGAAGTAGGAACCAAAGCAGCCGAGAAAGGAGAAAACACCTCAGTTATTCTGCCCTCCATCATTCTTCTCTTCCAGCCCTTGACACTAAAAGAGTAGTCAAACATCCTACTTGAATCACACCAGTGGCTTTACAAGATGCCATTATCAAAGGCATAATAAACATGCAAGGAAACATTCACACACAATGTCTAAGAGTATATGCTAATCTGCAGATGGCAACTCATAGATTGCGACACAGCTCACCTCCTCTAGGCACTCCAGAGTGCAGTGACCCTCAGAACGGAACTCAGGCATCCCTGGAGGGATTGTATGGAAGAGGCTCACCCAGAGGCCAGCCTCTATCACTCCTGCGTCATATTTCCTTATATCCGTGGTATGGAAAAACCTCAGTCCAGAACTGTCTATTAAGCCTGTTACAAGAGCAAATAACAAAAAGTGAAATGGATTACTTTAAAAAGTTTTCTCATTCATTTGAAATGGATCATTTATGGATTGATTTAATGAAAATTAAAATCTCGTGAGGAAAATGAATACAAGCAGAAATGATTGGAAGATAAAAACTAGCTTTGTGAACAGAAATTAGAACATAAGTCACCATATTGTCTGTAACTACCATAAACACACACACACACACACACACACACACACACACACACACACAGCATGTTATGGAGGATACATTTGAGTTATCTGGTGGAGATATTTCACAATTATCTAACACAACAGCAGAGCAAAATTTGGGGGTTTTTGTTTTGTTTTTTGTTTTCTGAGACAGGGTTTCTCTGTAGCTTTGGAGCCTGTCCTGGAACTTGCTCTGTAGGCCAGTTTGGCCTCCAACTCATAGAGATCTGCCTACCTCTGCCTCCCGAGTTCTGGGATTAAAGGCTTGCAAATTTTAAAGTCACTCACTATAAGACTGAATACCACAGAAGTTTTATTTTATATTGTTTTGGGGTGACATTCTACTCTTACTTACAGCTATAAACTGTTCATTTAGTAACTGTCTACTCAAGATAAATAAACAAATAAAGCTGGGCAGTGTTGGCTCATGCATTTAATCCCAGCACTTAGGAGGCAGAGGAAGGCAGATCTCTGAGTTTAAAGCCAGGTCTACAGATCTAGTTCCAGGACAGGCAGGGCTGTTATACAGAGAAACCCTGTTTTGAAAAACTAAAAAGAAAAAAAAAAATCATCTAATGACTGAGAAAACTAAAGGTTAACTCTGTCCATTTATTAACACCTTTCCATCTTTAACAAACTCATCAAATAGTTACTAAAGGTTGGTATGGGAACAGTTATGTGATGGGCATTGTGGGGTTAAATGACAACTAACACATTCATTGCTATGACATGATACTGAAGGGAGGGAGTATATGTGACCCAGATACTATAAACCTATAATTAATTTTAATTAATTGAAACCTTTCCCAGAGGTACTTTGATGCATGTCTATGAAGAATCTGTTTATACAAGGAAAACTTTAATAGACTACCACCACATCCTGCTGGCTTAATTGGGTCAAAAATTAAATATTTGAGTACTGTCAGATACATCCCTTTTGTATTGACTGCCACAAACATATAATGTTATTTCAATTGTTTCTCTTTCCTACTAGACTACAACTTTTGTTTGTGTCATTTTGTTTTGTTTTGAGTCAGGATCTCACTATGTAGACCATGCTGGCTTCAAACAGGCAATCCTTTTCTCCCAGGCACCAAGTGTTGGGATTACAGGCATGCACCAGTATACACAGCTGTGACTATAAATTCTATGAGTGAGAGAGTATCTTTTTCATTCATATTAATCTTTAAGCACAGAACAAACCCACAGTCCATGTTCAGTATTTGCTGAAAATTTATGGATTAAAATGATTAAGATTGCTTTCACTGGTGAAAGCACATTGAACCAACTAATTGTTTTACTTTTTGACAAACAGTATGAATAAATTCAGAAATCAACTGCATATCCTTATACTTACCTCTACCATACAGATTTTCATCATAGATATTTCTTGAGTACAGTTGTAGATCATCTATTAACAAATTGCCAGTAGTTTCTAGGGTGGTGGATGGTAGTAACTTTTCATATATATAATTAGAAAGAAACATGGTTAGGGCTAGAAAGATGGCTCAGTTGAGAAAGTGCCTGATCTGCAAGCATTAGGACCTGAATTCCCTACCCAGCATGCCTGTAATACCAGTAATGAGGAAGGAGGCAAAGACAGGAGAATCCCTGGGGCTTGCTGATAAGCCAGGCTGGTAAAATCAGTGCAATGCAGATTAGTGAGGAACCTGGTATCTTAGTTATTGTTCTATTGTTGTGAACAGACACTGTGACCAAGGTGACTTGTAAAAGAAAGCCTTTACTGAGGGCCTTTCTTACAGTGTAATTGGATTAGTCCATAACTGTTATGGTAGGGAGCATGGTGACAAGCAGGCATGGCACTAAAGAACAGTATGTGACAGTTTACATGTTAAGACAACCACCACAAGAGAAAGAGTTGACTGGCAATGGCTGGCATGGGTTTCTGAAACTTCAGAGTCAATCCACCTCCAGTGACACACATTCTCCAATGAGTAACAACTCCTTAGCCCTTCCAAATGATTCCATTAACTGGGGATCACATATTCAATTGAGCCTTTATGCCATTCTCTTTCAAACTTCCACATCCTATCTCAAAAAACCAAGTGGAGGGCAATTGAGCAAGACAGTGAAAATGAACCTCTTGTCTGCATACACACACACACACACAGAGAGAGAGAGAGAGAGAGAGAGAGAGAGAGAGAGAGAGAGAGAAAGAGAGAGAGAGAGAAAGAAAGAGAGAAACAGAGACAGAGACAGACAGAGACAGACAGAGACAGAGACAGAGACAGACAGAGACAGACAGAGACAGAGACAGAGAAAGACAGAGAGAGAGAGAGCACAAGGCAGGTTTTTTAAGCACCACATGTTTTTGGAACTAATTTATATCACAAGGGGGAACTTTCATTTTCCTACTTGTTGGTGGGAAACAGGAGAATGCATTCTTAGGATTTGTGACCATATATGCTCCTTTACCTAGATGCTACTGGTTAATGGCTATTATCCTAGTGCAATTCTGAATGACTCCCTGTTTCTGCTTCAAAAAGCATCCTAATTTGGATGGCAAATGTACAGGCTAACACTTTCTAATTCAAAGCTTCATATTTCACTTCAACTATGTTACAGACAATAGTTACATGACATTTTAAAACTGGCAGTTAAAAACAAAGAAAGAATTTACCTTTCTTATGTGCGGGATTATCATAATGTACTTCTAAAAGCACATAATGTGGGTCCAGTGGCATGCCAAGGGATAATCCAACATGAGGTGGATAAGTAAAGCCCTAAATATGGGGGGGGAAAAACTTCATGAGACAGTACCCTGCGAAAGTCCCTAAGAGTTCTGTCCCCGAACCCACCCATTCCCCCAAGACATTTCAGCTTTTGGAACAACACCATTCATCAATACAGGTCAAATATAATCATTTAAGGGAAGAAATCCTTTCCTATAAAAGTAGGAATATAAGTAAATCTTTATGTATTTTTGTATGAGACTGATATGTTTCTACCAGAACCATTCACGCAGGAGAAGCACAATCAAATAACTGACTACAGATTGGTCATCGTCGTTAGCATTACCTCTCCACCAATGGCCCAGGCAAAAATCACCGTTTCACAGGTCAGGAAGGCATCAGGCATATTTGGGTGGTAGCACTCATGGCCGTAGTCCAGAACACTGTCGTTAAAGTTGCTACTACACTGATAGAGCAGGATGTGATGGACCAGGCTCTCATGGCCTTTCTCTATCACTGGCTCAACCTATACAAATACAAATAAGAGGAGTTGTCTTAAATGACAGTGCCTTATAGCATCCCAGAGTAGGCATGAAGGCAGTATCAGTGGCTGGTCTTCAAAGGACTATCCCTCTCTGTTGTATACAGGGCACTGAGATCAAGGTAGGCATGGCCTTGAAGGTGATGCTGAGGGGTGGTGATGCTAGATGAATGGATAACAGCAAAGATGAAGCAATTGCATAGTCCAAGAGGTGCAGGACTTCGCCAATTTTCTCTTTTCATGTTTAACTCCTGTCCATTTCCGTTATCCAATCTATAATACAGCTTACACTCTTCCAGGCCCCCACTTTGTTATTCTTCCCTCTTATCTTTTCTTCACATAGAAAATATATATCAAGGCTTCTGGTACAAACTCTCTGTCTCCTTCTTCTCCACTTTAAAATATTATTCTTACCCTACTGGAAGTGACAGATGATATCTTGGTCATTTTTACATGTACCTGGTATGGGCATGAATTAGGGCTCAATAAAGGATATTTTATTTTAACAATAAAGGTTGCATTTTAACAATTCAGGGGAATGGAATTTGGGAGTCAAAAACCCCAAATATTAATGTTGGACTACTGTGACGTTTCTTGAGTTGTGAGGGGGAATGTGAAGCCAGTTAAAATAGAAAAGGCTATTGACATTGGTGGCTCAGGTGAACACGCTCTTTCCCATCAGCTTCTTTCTTAGTCTCCTTCATGGTACTTGTGTCCTTCAAGATTCTTATGTCTATTTCATCCAGGAACATAAGAACCCATCCCAGAACAAGTTAATCAGGTCACCCTTCCTGAGATCCCCACACCCAGATGAAATAGGAGCCTGTGCTGTGGCTGTGGGCATCAGCTCCAGGGGGCCCTGGGATGTTCCAGTTGTCCTGACACTCTCAGAGCTCAGCAACACTTCTGTTTTAACTCTCACCCAGGCATTGCCTTCAGAAAACCTTGCTCACTCCCTGCTTCAGCCTGCGGATTTAGATGAAGCATCTTCAGCCTTTTCCTCCTAGGACATTGCATTTCTTGTTTCTGTAGGTTTTCTCCATTTGGTAGGAAGATCCAAGCCTCCAAAGGGGCACAGGGATGTATGGGGTAGAAGTCTGAAGTAAGCTGCTAGGAGATTCAGCCTTTTAAATTTGATTCTGTTTGCTATTACCCACTTGCACGTTTCTGATCCCCATTTGTAGAATAAGGTAACACATGGCTTTGTTTTTGACTGTCTGTAAAGGTCATGAGTCGTGAAGGCACAGACTATTTTTTTCATTTGCTTGAGAATGACAGCTATGGTTCAAGCATGATTACAAAATTAGCTGTGATTGTACAGTAGTCTAATTAGGACCTCCTTTCAAAATGTTGTTTCCATAGCTAGTTTGAACTGTTCTGTGACACTATAGACTTATTTAGATGCTTTGGTTTACACACAAAGATAAGACAAAACAAAGACTCAACATCCAGATATTAAAATGTGACTTTTTGTTATATGCCTTGGAAAAGTTCAAGCAGAGCCTGGCGTCTGCACAGAATTCTGCAAAGCAGAACTCAGAATGGAGCCACAAGAACAAGGGAAAGATGTGCCACTGAGACACCTTCATCAAGAGTATGTGATGCTGGCTGATGGCTGAGTTTAGGGAGCTCTAAATACTACTTTAAAGAATCTTTTAGGAGCAAATCTTTGTTGTTGCCGGAAGCATTGAAGCAAATACTAAGCTTCTAGATTACAACGCCTTCTTGGAATAACAATAATATCTCTCCTTTCTCCAGCAACTCCATGTGCCAACCACAGAATCATTCTGTGTTTCTATATCTGCTCTACACACTTAGTATTGACTACATAGCTATGTGCTAATCATCTCCATCATACAAATTCGAAAACCGAGATTTGGAGAAACTAGGCAACAAGTCACAAATACTGTAGCTATGGAGTAGGAGAGAAAGATGAGAAAGCAGACTGCTCTGACTTCAAGGTCTCATCTGATGAGTACATGCTGTGGCGGGAAGTCTGTTGGAAAGCCACCAACGCTACAAGCCACTGCCAGTGGGACGGAGGATGAAAGGCTACAAAAAGTCTAGCTGGAGACAGCTGGTAAGAGAGAAATGGCATCACTGGTTAATGCCAGGAGGTTCTTTGGGACAACACACAAAGTTCCCATCAGAGAAGCTGCCTCAGACTGGAAGTCGTGTGGGTCTACTGATCTTACTACTCCTGTGCCTTGACCTGTTAATATGTTCTTTTCTTAAAGAGAACAAACAACAATGTGTCTCCAGTGAACCTGCCAGTGATTCAAGGAGAATTTGATTATGACTCCATCCTTGGATTACAAATTGAGGGTACAACCTAAAACAAAAGATTTTTTGAGGAGAGAACTAAAAACAGAAACAAAATGATGCAGACCTGGGTTTTGACTGTGAGAGAAAATGAAAAGTAGTTTGGAAGAAGCAAAATCCTTTGGAACATAAAAGAGGTGGGAGAGAGAAGGGGAAAAGAGAAGGAAACACACGAGCTCTGGCCCCACCTTGAGCTAGGATAGAATATCTTTGTGGTTTCAAGATGTCCAGCTTGCAACTATTTATTCTAGCATCCCAGAGAGCTGATGCATCACCTGTTCTAAATTTTGTACCATAAATTAACCATTTTCAGGTCTGTACATTTATATAGAGGTTATGGCTGCCCCTGCAATTGTTTGGAACACAGAAAGCACAAGGATACATGTGTCCTTTGTGATTAATACTCTCTTTATCTAAAACCGTTGTGTATTTAGCCTTAGTTTTAATGCCGCAGTAAAAAGGGGAGAAGTACCTTTCTTGTCCTATCCAACTGGGCTAAGCATAACCACAGGGCACCAGTGACTAGAGCTGTTTGGAGCCGTTTCCATTTTCTCATTCTCCCAAGTTATCCGCCTAAGATGTGGGTCTTTACTTGTTGGAACATGAGTGGAGGAGTGGAATGAACCTCTCCAAAAACAACTTGTGTTTCAATAAATCACAGTTTAAAACAAAGGGAGAGGCAATGGGAGGGATCTGGGATGAGCTGGAAGTTTTGTAAAGTCCTATCACTTTTCCTCCTGCCAATTCTTGTTCCTGGCACTCTGCTTCATGTAGTACCCCTCACCCCCAACCAGGCCCTAGTTAGTGTTCATGGGAAAGACCATAAACTGTCTTTCTGACAAAGGGCATCCAGAGGTTAGCTGGCTCTTCAAGCGGGGTTACCCCTGAGGCCCCAGGCAGAACTAGCATCTGAATAGGTCTCCGCATGATCTCATTGCTATGCTTGCATGAAGACTGTCGGAGAAAACCCTACCCTCACCTGCCCTGGCCTGACACTCAGTCTCTAACTGGAATACGGATACATAACAATGCATCAAACGGAGTGAGTATGGAATAGAGTTTTCGCACCACAAATATTCCACTCCAAAAACAAGTCAGCGATCAAAGCAAAGCATGATTTGATGTGGCGTCTAAGACCCAACAAGAATGAATTTGGCAGCTAAAGGAGGTGACAAGATGGAGAGGTCAAACTAGGGTAGACATGGGGGAACAAAGACTAAAGAAACAGAAGTAGGGAGAGAATTGTGGGAAATCACTCACCCCTTCCTGCAGTCTGGAAGTCTCATAATTACCATCTTATATATACCACAACTGACCAGGTCTGGGGTGGGTACCCAGTCCAACTGTGTCCTTGTTTTTTTTTTTTTTTTCAACTATAAAAAATAATCTGTTCCCCTTAAAAGACTGTCGGTATGAGGTCTGTAGATGCCACAAGTGGTGTGTTCTGCACGTGGGAAGAAGCCCCAGTGCAGCGAGTACCACAAAGTCAGCACATAGAGAAGGGAGAGACCCCGGGAAGCTTTAATATCTAAGGTTTCTAAATCCAGCTCCTTCTCTGCTTTTCTGAGATTTAGTCACCTGTCCTCCTAAGCTAATATATGTCTTTTCCTTCCAAGCTGGTTCACTTTGTTGTCATTTTGTTTTGTTTTTGCCATTGACAATCAAAGGCTCTCAAAACACAAATACAGGTCTCCAATTCACCCTGTGCCCTGCACACATCACCTGAAGTTGTCAGTTTTACTTAATCCTAGAAATAATTGTTGTGCAAAGTTGTTCTTATTTACTATTACAACTGGATCTGGACAAGTTATCATCAGTTATTTCAGTGAATTCCCTGTAAGAGCTTCAAGAGACAGAGAGAGAATAAAACACAGCCTCTAGTGTACAGACCTTAATCTCCTGCCTACTGGCTCCTGAGTTTCCAAACAGGCTCTAGCATTTAAGCTGTTTCATTTGATGAACACGCAAGTTCTCTTCAGAAAGGTAACATGTTGTGGCAAATAGCCATTTTATATCTGAAGTGAATTTTAAAACCTTATTAAATAAAACATTGAATATTGAGATCATGCTGGGAGACATCTTCAGAGTGTCTATCACGTTACTCTCCAATCCATTATCCCATCCCATGCTCTACACACACATACAGACACACACACACACACACACACACAGAGAGAGAGAGAGAGAGAGAGAGAGAGAGAGAGAGGGAGAGAGAGAGAGAGAGAGAGAGAGAGAGAGAGAGCAAGGCCATTCTGTGAAAGTAGCTAGCAGCCCTCAACAGTTATCAACCTCAATGTTTTGTTTTCAACAAAAATTTGCTGAATTGATGGTATAAGTCTTGGAAGTTTTGTGTGATGGTTCAACCCATCTGTACAACAAATCTAGGGAAACAGGAGATCCCCTCCTTATTGTTCATGTTTGGACACATCAGGTGCCAGTCTTCCAGGTCTTCACATTAGTGCCTTTATTTTGGACTTCTCAAAGGCCAGACTTATGAGTAAACTTCTATTCTTTATAAATTCTAAGGTCTGAAGTATTTTGTTATAGCAGCATAAACAATCTGAGACAGATGTTTGGACACTTGTCCCCCTAACAGCACTTCAGGTGCCAGCTAGTCTCCCCAAGACAGCACTTTGCACACTGGCAATCTGACGGGTAATGCT